AAAACCAAGGTGTCAGCAGGCTTGGTTTCTTCTAAGGGCTCTCTCCTTGGCCTGCAGAGGGCCGCCTTCTTGCTGTGTCCTCACGTGGCTTCACATTTCCTCTGTGCCCATGCATCCCTGATGTCTTGTTTTCTGGTGAGGAAGACTGGCCCTGAGCTAACATCTGTGCCCATCTTCCTCTATTTTGTATGTGGGTCGCTGTCACAGCATGGCTTGATGAGCAGTGTGTAGGTCTGCGCCTGGGATCTGAACCTGTGAACCCAGGCCGCCAAAGTGGAGTGTGTGAACTTAACCACTACACCACCAGGCTGGCCCCCCTGATGTCTTTTGAGTGTCCTAATTTCCTCTCCTTATAAGAATACCAGTCAGATTGGATTAGGGCCTAACCTAAGGGCTTCATTTTATCTTAATTACCTCTTTAGAGGCCCTGTCTCCAAAGACAGTCACATTCTGAGGTACTGGGGGTTAGGACTTTTACATATGAATTTTGGGGGAACACAATTCAGTCTATAATGTACAGTATACACTCTTTTCATTGGCTTTTTTTACACCATATGATTATTTTGAGATTCATCCATGTTTTTGAATGTCTCACTAGTTTGCTATTTTTCACTGCTGAGTAGTATTCCATTCTAGGAGGAAAGACCTGGCCACCCACTTCCAAAAAACTTGGCCATGAAAACCCTATGAATAGAGGTGGAGCATTGTCTGATATAGCGCCAGAAGATAGGAGGATGGTGCAAAAAACACCAGGCAGGGTTCTGCTCTACAGTTCACAGGGTTGCTAGGAGTCAGAATCGACTCAACGACACTAACAAGACAAGTATTCCATCGTGTGGGCAAACCACAATTTGTTTATCCACTCTCCTGTTGATAGACATTGGGCTGTTTTCAGGTTTTGGCTATTGCAAATAAAACTGATATGAACATTTATATGCAAGTCTTTATACAGGAGTAGAACTGCTGAGTCATATCGTAGGTATATGTTTAACTTCATAAGATAGTGTTAAACTCTGTTCCAGTAGTGGGTGTAAAACAATATCTTACTATAGTGTTAATTTCAATTTTCCTAATGATTAATGATGCTGAGCATCTTTTCACATATTTGTCACCCATTTATCTTCTTTGGTGAAGTGGCTCCTCTAATCTTTTGCTCACTTATTGTTGGGTTATTTGTCCTCTTATCAAATTACAGGAATTTTTTATATATTCTAAATACAAGTCCTTTGTCAGGTAAATGTTTTGAATGTATTTTTCTCCCAGTTTGTTGCTTGCCTTTTCATTTTCATACGTGTGCTTTGAAGAGCAATATATTTTTTAATTTGATGAAGTCCAATTTGTTTTTTTCCTTTGCAGTTTGGGATTTTTGTGTCCTATTAAAAAAAAACTTTGCCAAACCCAAGGATGCTAAAATTTTCTCTTAATTCTGATATTTAGGCCTATGATGTATTTTGAGTTAATTTTTGTATATGATGTGAGGTAAGGGTCATAGTTCATTTTTTGCTATATAATTTTTTTTGGTATAGCAATATGCAATTGTCCAGAACCACTTTTGAAAGATTATCCTTTCCTATTGACTTGCATCCTTGAATTCAGATCTTATCATCTGCTCTGCCCTCCTCACATGACTGTAGAGAACACTCAATGAGATATGTGAAAACATGCTCTGAAAAATTTAAAACTAATAGAAATCTCAGTCACTATCATTACTTGTTGGTTCTGAGTGTATCTTGACCCAGAGAGCTTATTCTCTCATCTGTGAAATAGGAATAATAATATCTGACTGGTCTACTTGAGAGGGATTTTATTAAGATTATGCATTTTAAAATGCTTTGTAAATTGTCAAGTGCTATAGAAATGCAAGATATTGTCTATACCTGAAAAATCTCTGGATTACATAATGAGGCCCATTTCTGCTTTGCACAGTAATACAGGGCCATAAATATGACTGTACAAGCTGAAACTGCAAAAAGATCTTCATAATCAACAGGACAAATAATGATTATTCCATAATCCTTAAAAATTTTTGTCAAAACATTAGAAACCCTTTTACTGTTCATTATAAATGTATAAAGGAAGTGGAAAAATAGCAAGACTAATATTTATTTAGAGCACTGTAATTTAAAACATTAGAAACATTGAAAATTAGAGCATTTAATTTGTAAAGAAAACTTATCAAGAGTTATTTGAACAATGTTTGTGTCTTTTTGTCACATAACTCACAAGACAGCATCTTTTCCACACCTTGGTGAATTATCAGACTCCCCTGCAAGTTTGGATCAGCTTCTACCCTTTTATCCTTTGCTTTTACGATGTTGTGGCACAGCTCTAAGAGTTCCTTTAATGTGAAGTTTTTTGCCAGCAACACTTCCTCTAGGATACCTTCATCCTTTCTGTCACAAGCACTTCCCTCATTTATGTCGCAGTGTCAACATTTTCCCGGTCAGCTATTTCTTTTATAACTCTCTTTACATTCTATTAGAATTTCACTCCCAGCACGATCACTTTTCCTTTCTTTTCTACAATTTCATCTTTGTTGGCCAATTCCCTCTTCTGATTATTTTTGTTATGTGGGTTTATCACTGAAAGATAAGGAGGCAACACAACTACGTGGTTTGCTGTCTGTGCATGTAACAGGCACACAGTGACCACCTGCCAACATACTTTAAAAGAAGTGACGATTAGTCACTGATCTGATGTGCATCTGTTATTTACATAGGGATTTACGAACTGAAGAGCTAGAAGTTGTTTGTACCTTATGCGATTACTCACAGATAATATATAGTGACTACTGAGATTTGAATTGTGTTGTTGAGGGACTAGTGTTATTTAACTAAACACAGTAATGAAATCTGTGCATAGAGGAGCCACGCAGTGAGGACTGCCTGGACTCCCCTGTCCTGAGATGTGTGAGTTCCCCCATTGAGTGTTCTCAACATTTCAAGAGGAGGGAAAATAATTATTTCTCTGGCTTTCTTGACGTGAGTCTTCAGGAACCTCCTCTATTAATTCAAGAAATGTGTGGTGAAGAAATCAAAGAAACTTTCTATGATGGTCATTTAAGTAGCCTTATTTTAGATTAAATTACACTGTGGTATGACCTTCCTCATTTATCTATGAAGTAGATACATTAGTGAACTTTTAAATAGAATTTGGTTGAACAATAGTTGATTTTCTTTTAAGAGAAAATCAAAAAGTTTTGCATGATTTTCCTTAATCATTTAACTTACTTTTTCATATCTTTGCATGTCTTTAGTTGTCACTTTTCTTATCCCAGAATAAAGAGTTCAAGCCAGATCAAACGTTAAATGTACCCCATCCCCTAAAAGAAGTTTCTTATAACCCTGACAGGTGCATTTTAAAGGCCTGTTCGCATTCAGTCTCTCTAAGGGCTAACTGCACATGTAGGGATAGGAATTACATAATTGGGAACTCTGACCTCTTGAAGTGGTACCAAATTGTTGGCGTTCTCTCTTAAAATGTTTAATAGTGGTTCATCACCCTGATTTCACAACAGCCATCAATGCACTTCTGCACACTCTCCCCACAGAAGACAGCAGAATAAATTATTTTAACTAGCCTGGGAAGGTACTCACTACTTTTATGATCACAAAGTTATTTTAGATCTGAATGAACCAACCAAACACAAAAGTATTTACCCAGTGATGGAAGTCACTGTGTTCTACTCTGATCTTTATGACAACCACCTCAAGTCTAGTAAGAGAAACAGAAACGGAAACAGAGAATTAAAATACAGTTTGGTAAGTGAGGGAGGGTAGTCACAAGATGGTACAAAATTGTTAGAGAAACACCAAACCTAGCTTTGAGAAAACGAAGAAAGTCTGACCCAGCTAGCTCTGAAAGACAGTAGGAATTACCTCAGCAAAGGGAGGACAGATGGTTCTTGCAAGAATTGCAGGTTCCAAGGCCTGGAGACAAGAAAAAGAAAATGATGAATTCTAGAAACCAAAAGAAGTTCTGTGGGAGTGCTGAGGCTAGAGAGGTGAAATTTATGCCATGTGAAAGAACTTAACCATGACAGTAACAGAGAGCCAAGAAGAGCTTTAAAAGGAGAGTAACATGTTCTGATTTGCATTTTAGGAGTATCATTTCAGAAGCTGCTGTGAGTAGATGGGAATGGAGACAGTGAAGAAGACAGAGACCAGCTGAGAGATCAAATAGGCTCAATCTACGTTAGCAGCGGTGGAAACTGAGAGACGGGGAATGATTTTAGACATATTAAGGAGGTAGAATCGAAAGGATTTTGTGACCATTTTGGGATATTGCAGGTGACACCAAGTTTTCTGGCTTGGACAACTGAGTGGAAGGTCAATTTGGAGGAAAAGAAATGGTAATTTAATTCGGAAAAAAGTCGACTGTGAAAGGAGTGTGAGGCATAGAATGAGATACCCTGCCTAAAATTAAAATGGTGCTGTGTTTTGTTTCCACTCTTCAGATGGCCTGAGACAGATAAATCCTGTGAGTAACCAGGTGGGGAGCGGAGTGGCACTGGCTTCACCCAGCACAACAATGTGTAGGGCCCTTTGGAGACAATCAAAGGGCAGCCTTCTGTCAGAGGGAAGATTGACAGCTTGACTGTCCAGGACACAGGATATAAATAACCCCAATTGTACTTGTGTCTAAACAAAATGGCCAGAGAAGGTGGTCAGGGCTTGGGGTACCAAAAGTGACAGATATCTCAGACTACTAGACTTTATGTTTTCAGTGGTTCATGAGAAGCAGCAATGCATAAGAACAAGGTTGAAGGACTGCTGTAAATAACCCTGGGACAGTGGCTGGAAGAAGTACCTAGAAGAGAAGACTTGACCTTCACCATGTCCTAGCAGATCCAAGAATACACCCAGGCCACTCACTGCTGGCTACCAGAGCTCTTCATCGTGGCCACAGGTCAAATGCTTAATTCTAAAAGCCATACAACCCACTTTTTAATCTTTTCCCAAATGTAAACAGGAAAATAATCAAAACCATTTTTAGCTTACATGGAAGAACATCTCGGTATCTGTTTTTGTCTCTGTTGCGTGGTTCATTCCCAGAGGTGAACTCACCAGGTAGGTTCTTATATTCTAAAGCCTTTAAAAGGTAAGAAATATAAGTCATGTACTTACTATAACGAAAAAAAAACAAAAAGAACAAAAACTGCCTCTGTTTACTGTTCATGATTGTTAAACCCCTATATGACATGACTTGACGTTACGTATGTTGTGTGATACGCAGACAAGTCAGAACCCCATTTAAAAAGTACTATATAAAAGATCTCAAATTTGAGATGTCAGTCGACAAGTTGCTTGAAGAGGAAATGTTAAATTCTCTGGAGATACTTTCTCCCTTGAACTTCAATATTTTTCCTTTTTCATAAAAAAGCCAATACAGAAATATTTACTTCTTAGGACCTACCCATAAATCTATCATTTTATAAACAAAAATAATAAGTAACTACAACAAAAATATATAAATATATAAACAAAAACATACAAACAATCTCACAATTTACTCCTTGCCCCATGAAGAAATTATAGCTAGGATACTAATTAAAGAATTCTTCCTTTCAAAAAGATTTCTTTACCCAGTGTGAATTCAACAAACATTTGGTATGTACTCGGCACTGCTCTAGATATTGGAACACAAAGATGCACCTGAGAATCGCCTCATCCTGAAGGAGCTAACGGAGCAGTTGGAGATGCAGACCTGATCAACGCACAGGTACTAGTATAGATGACAGCACTAGATTACACCTGAAGGGATGAGAAGGAAAGCTCCTAGAAAGGAAGCAGCACTTGAACTGGGCCTTCCCGAGTCATTGGAAGTTATGAAATATGAAACTCTGTGTGTGGAAGGAGAGAAGAGCAAAGATGGCTGGGGAGCATCCCAGGTGGGGGACAGGAATAAAGACACGGAGCATACAAGTCCTCTCAGGGAACTGGTGAACAGTATGGTAACGAGGGCACAGAGAAAATGATCCAGCCCAAAAGAAAACTAAAATTACCTGGGAAGGCCTTGTTCCCTATACAAAGGAAAGTGAGAGGTACCCAGTCCTACTCTATTAGAATATTTGTGGATAAAGCCTGAGAGTCTGGACCTTTTAAAAGCTCTTCAGCAACTCTTGGGTAGCTAACTTGGCACCACCAGTCTTTAAACAAATGTTGGCAAATACTGCCATGTGGAATGAGAATCCAGTGAAGGTTTTAAGCAGTAGGATAATATGATCAGATTTTTACCTTTTTAATCTTTCTGCAAACCAATTCTAAAATTAATCTGGTAAAAAAAATCTTTAGGAAGAACCAGAACAATTTTGTAAAAAAAGAGTAATGAGGGGAGACTAGTCTTAACAGATGGTAAAAGATAATATACACCTACATTAATTAAAAGAGTTTGGTACCAGTACATGAATAAACAAGTCAATGGAAAAAGTCCAAGAATAAATTTAAATATATGTGGTGCTTCAGAATATGATAAAGTGGCATTTTACATCACCAAAGTTTCAAAAGGATCTTGGAACAACTGTATAGCTATATAATGTTTGGTCCCTACCAAATACCTTATAACAAATTAAATTCTAGCTGTATTAAAGATTTACACATTTAAAAAATCATAGAAGTATTATTTAAAAAACATGAAATAATTATTATGACCCTAGAGTGAAAGGGGCATTCCTAAAAGACAGAGAAAACTCTGAAGCCCAAAAAGAAAAGATTGTCATGTTTGATCACTAAAAATTAGTAGTTTCTTCTGGGCCGGCCCCATGGCGCAGTGGTTAAGATCTGCACGCTCCACGTCAGTGGCTCAGATTTGCGGGTTTGGACCCCGGGTGCAGACCTACACCACTCATCAGCCATGCTGTGGCGGCGACCCACATATAAAATAGAGGAAGACTGGCACAGATGTTAGCTCAGGGCTAATCTTCCTCACCCCCTCCTCCTCCCCAAAAAATAGCTATTTCTTCTTAGTAAATGTGTGTGTGTGCACAAATAACAAAGTAAAAAAATTTACCACATATAACACATACAAAAGGGGTAATTTCTTCATTATATAAAGAATAAGAAAATATATATCATTATATAAAGATAAGAAAAAGAATAAATATAAAATTAGGCAAAGACCTGGAACTAGCAGTTCACTGAAAAAAACATGAAAGGCTTAAAAACATACGGAAAGCTAGTCCTTGGTTCTCAAATAAAGAAAAGCGAATTAGATCATTAACAAGAAATCATTTGTCATTTAAGACATAAGCAAAGATCCAAAAATTTGATATCACAAAATACTGGTTGTCTGTCCAGGAATTTGTTCTAAAGAATACTCACACATTTGCACAGGCCTGTGAAGAGGGGTGATTGTTTATAACATAACAGCAAACTCTAGAATAATCTAAATGTCCATCAGAGGGGACTATTTAAAGAAAAGAAGGTCTTTATCCATATAATTAACTGCCACACAATACTTAAAAAAAACAAGATAGAGCTGTATGTGCTGATAATATATTTGGAAATTATTTCTTATGTGGAAAAAAATTTTTTTAAGGAAAAAAAGGGTAGAATAGTGAGTAAAGCACTGTCAACAATTTTTCTGGAAGTTTATATGATAAACTTAATAGTGGAAAGGGGGCCTAGGAAGTCAAGGGAGAAAAAGAGAGAGACTTTACCCATTATAACATTTTATGTTATTTTTTTTTTTTACTATGTACACCCGTTACTTTAAAAACAAAAACAATGTATTCAGTCAAGAAAAAGAAAAGAAACCCTCTGGTAGTGATGTGGAAACAGAAATCACACACAGACTTTTGTTAAAACCAAAATGTTTACCATAAATTCCTGGATGATTTCATAGTCTGCTCTTTTTTTCTCGAGCATTTTAAAACAATCCTTGATAGCTGATTGCTCATGAAAACTGAATATTAATGGTCGAACCTGAGCCAACTGAGCTAGCTCCCTTTCAGAAACAATTTGTATACCTAAGAAAGAGAAAAATTCACATTTGTAAGTTACTTGTATGTATATGAAGGCAGATTTTATTTTTGTTGTTGTTTTCTCTTAAGTAAAGGCATAGCCATTTAAGGATTAACGGAAGTTTATTTTTCCAGAGGTGAAGAGTCTATTATTGTGAAAAAAAGTATCCTTGTCTTAGAAAAATCGTGACTACATACCTTGAAATTACACAAAACCCACTATTCTTGGAGAAAACTGCCAAGTGCTATAAATATAACAGATGCAGTAGACTGAGAAGTGTTCTGTTTTATAATGTGAATTGGGTGTATGTATTGACAATTATGCCAAGAAGTGCATGTATGAGACTTGGGTGGGAAAAAGACAGAACTTTTGCTCTCCCTGGGACCAAGTGTTTGGAAGTTCCTGGAGTTTGAGATGAGAGCATGTGGAGAGTGTAACACACTTCTTACTCTAAAACAGATCAAGCACACACAAACACACACACATATACACACACATCACATACACACATCACACATCTCAAGGATTGAGAGGATCTATATGATGTAATTAATAAGATTTAAAAATAGATATATATAATGTATATATCTATATATAGATAATATATATTGTTATATAGTTATACACTTATAACTATATAAGTGTAGACCATACAGTCTATATCTATATAGATAATATATATATATTATATAGTTATACACCTATAACCAATAAGAACAGAAGAGAATACATTCTATTTAATAGTAGATATGGAAATCATTGTTTTAATATGATGATCTTTTAGGTTTCATTGACAGTCTAGATTCCAAATATCTGAAATTTTACAGATCATGTCCACTGGTCAAAATGCAATAAACCTAGAAGTCAACATTAAAAGAATATTTTTAAAATTTCATATTTTTGAAGTAAAATGCTCAAAGGAAACCAGTTCTCAAAATCTCTTTCCAAAGCCAAATAATATGAACAAAAATCAAGTTAATAACAGCAAAAAATACACAAGAAGCAATTAAGCAAAAGAACAGGCACAAAAAAGAGATAGAAGTTTCTAAGAATCTGCACAACCCTGGGAAACTCATCTTGTCTTGGAACCCTACTATACCCAAAAGCCCTGTGTAGGGGTGGGAGAGAGAGACTACTGGTCAGGAGAGACAGACACAGAAATCCTATAATTTCTCACAAATATCTCTAACTTTAGCAGGAGAGGAGGTCTAGGAAGCCCAGAAGCAGAGATAAAATTCCCACAAGAGTAGCAGCCATTTTGATCACCTTTGATCCCCAAAAGAAAAACCCTTAGAACTTGTCCATTGTGTTCCAGTCTTGTTGGAAAAAAAGCTGAGAGAAGGCAGAGAGGAAAGGGAAGAAAAGGTAGAAAGACTGTAATGGACACTGTCATGGACTCCCCAACACTGATTCTACCCCGACGGTAAGTTAAAGCTATTTGTAATTATTCCACAATAATTCCCTTGCCAGTGAATAATCCAGCAGCAGGTAGGTGATTTGGGCCAATGGGAAGCAAGAAGAAGATTGTTCAGGGCTTATGGGAAAGGGAAGCAAGCCTCTTTCCCACCTCCATCCCCTGCCAGAACAAAAACCCAGAGGCTTAAGTCCCCTGATTACCACAACCAGCCCTATTGTGACCATAAAATGAATGAGCTGAGTATAGCAAATACGAAAAAAACATAAAGAACCTATATTCTTGATGACATCACTGAGCAACTGATCACATTGAACCTGGAATACTTCCTACCTCTGGACTTCCATTATGGGATAAAATGTATTTCTTTATTGTTAATGTCATTGTGAATTTGGTTTCTTTTTATTGCAGCCTGTTCTAAGAATTCTAATCAAGGTGTATAGGTCAGCCTTGGGCTGCAGATAACGGCAATCATTACAGAAAGTGATTTTTACATAAAGCCGGTTCACAGAAAGGGATTTTATCCATCTGTTTGGTGCTGACAACATCATTGGGAGGGTTTGAAGAGCAGGCACTTCCCCACTATGATCCAAAAATAACACAGCAGAATGGTCTGCCAAGAAGAGCGCTACCTTTGCCACAATGTGGAATCTGAGGGAGCTGGACACCACTGCTCTGAGTGGTGGTTCCTGGCTGACACCACCTTAGCAACCACGGAGGAATGAGAAAGCCACCATGACTGCTGGCTCTAGTAATGTACCACCTTCCTATAGTGAGGCACTAGGAATGCCATGCCTGCAATCGTGTGTACCAGCAACGTGGATGCTTTTCTACACATTTAAATCTTGGCTAAGTGCATATGACTGGTCAAACCCACACTAGCTACCAGGATGTCTAGGAAATGTAATTTTTATTTTTCCTGTCTGGGCCATACAGCAAGCTACGCTAGGAAGAGGGTGTGATCGACATTGAGTAAGCTGATCTACAATATTTGCCATACAACAATTCATCCACACTCTTGAGCTTTCTGCTCCTTTCCCCAACCCTTCAGCACACTCGTCGCTGTCCTCAGGCAAAATCCAGCCCTCAAAGTTTAGTTTATAATGGAAGATAACTAGATTCAAATAAAACAGAAGGAGAGCCAAGGAGAATTCATTCATGTTCAATTAGAAAAGTCAAAGAGATGCAGAGCTATACATGTTAGTGAACAAGATGGAATAAAACAGAGAGATGCAGAAAAAAATGAATAATGTAACATAGTATGCAAAATTTTTTAACACATTCTGAATAAAACATAACCTAAATTGTAGCTCCACCATCTGTAGGAAGATGTAATAAAAGTATGAATTATTTTAAGTAAGAGTTCAAAAATGAGATAAAACAACAGAATGAGGTGAAGAATAAGTTTACAGACCTAAAAAAATAAAGGCCAAAAGTACATTATTATAGCACTTATAATTAAATCAAACACTGCAAGAAACAAAGTACAGTTGAAAATGGACTCATTCACAGGATAAAGACGTATACATAAACGAATGAAGAGAAGAAAAGGTAAAAAAAAGAAAAAAAGATAATGCACATAAGGACCCTATCAGAAGCTCAGGAGAAAAACTGGAGACAAGGTGAGGAACTCAGGAAATCCTTCCTCACGGTGCAAGCTTGGAGAGGGGAATGTAGCTTCTATAGGAAAGGCGTGAAGCCACACCTGGTTCCTTTTTCCCTATCTCCCCTAAGGATCAAAAGCATAGGGAGTTGGGAGAAGGGCAGCGAACCCTATTACCCTCAAGGTACAGGTTAAGACCCACTAACACTGGGGATAGAGAGGGGAGGGAAGCATCATGGGGTCAGACCATAACATACCCCACACCCCTGAAGACAGGGAAGGATAACTCAGGAGGCACTAACTCTAAGACCCAGGGACGCTGCACCTGTCTAAGTCCAAGGCTGAACAAGGACAGAAGAGAATGCCATTCCCACCTGCAACCATGTTAGCAAGCAACAGAATTACAAATAAGAGCACTCTGTTGCTGGGGAATAGACAACATCGTAGATAGGAACCTTCTCTGAGGTGCAGGCACCATGGGGAGACCTAAAGCAGAGGGTAGAACAGACACTGAGGTAACCCCTCTGGCATGCCATTTTCCACTCTAAGCACAAGGGAACAATACAGGAACTTGAAGCTGGTGGTGCACTGAGAGTAACCACAGCAACATCAAAACCCAAACCCTGGGGCTGGCCCCGTGACTTAGCGGTTAAGTGCACGCGCTCCGCTACTGGCAGCCCGGGTTCGGATCCCGGGTGCACACTGATGCACCGCTTCTCCGGCCATGCTGAGGCCACATCCCACATACAGCAACTAGAAGGATGTGCAACTATGATATACAACTATCTACTGGGGCTTTGGGGAAAAAAAGGAGGAGGATGGGCAATAGATGTTAGCTCAGAGCCGGTCTTCCTCAGCAAAAAGAGGAGGATTAGCATGGATGTTAGCTCAGGGCTGATCTTCCTCACAAAAAAAGAAAAAAAAAAAACAAACCCAAACCCTGTTCAATTCCTGACTAAACTGACACAACTCCTCACACTGAAGGCCTACCAAAGGAAGAGGCATGTCCATTTTTATTTACCTCAGCATATAGAACACAAGATATCCAGATTTCAACCAAAAAATTATACAGCCTCACAAAGAAGCAAGAAAAGAAAAAATAAAATAAAACTGTCAAGAGACGAAGCTATCAACAGAACCAGACAGATATGACATAGATGTTAAAACTACCAGACAATGAATTTAAAATAACTAAGATCAATGCTAAAGGTTTAGTAGAAAAAGTAAACAACATGGATGAACAAATGGGAGACTTCATCAGAGACACAAGGAACCATAAGAATCAAGCAGAAATGCTTAAAATGAAAAATACCTTAACAGAAATAAAGAATACCATCAATGGGCTCATCAACAGGCTTGAGACAGGCAAGAAAAGAATCAGCAAACTTAAAAATACGTTACTAGGCATTACCCAAACTGAAAGAGAAAAAAGAGGGGGGTAGGGGTGGGGGTGGGGAGGACACAGAAGAGACCATCCAAAAGCTACAGGCCAGTATCAAACAGACTACAATATTCCTATAATTGGAATCCCAAAATAGGAGAGAGAGAGAGAGAATTGGGCAGAAGAAATATTTGAAATGATAATGGTTGGGAGTTTTCCAAAATGAATGAAAGACAACAAGCCTCAGATCCAAAAGCTCATCATAAACAATACAAGTCAGAAGACAACTCAGAATCCTATAACCGACAAAAACATCTTTCAAAAAAAAATAAAGGAGGGGCCGGCCTGGTGGCGCAAGCAGTTAAGTGCATGCGCTCCACTGCAGCGGCCCGGGGTTCACCAGTTCAGATCCCAGGCACGCACCGACGCACTGCTTGGCAAGCCATGTTGAGGCAGCGTCCCATATAAAGTGGAGGAAGATGGGC